TACATCATGGAACAGGACAGAACGGAGCATGGAACAGGAGCACAGGACAGAACACAGAACGGGGACCCTGGAATATACTAGGGGTGGGGCTGGGGGAATGCCTCGCCCAGCATGGACGGTACCGCACATCACTGCAGGAGTCCTGATTTTCTGCTGCAGTTTAGTAACACTTAGATTGTAAGCCCTCAGGGGCAGGGCCCTCCTTACCATCTTGTCTTGAATTGTATTGTGACTGTAATGTCTTCCTTATATTGAAAAGCTCTGCGCAAACTGTTGGCGCTATATAAATCCTGTATTAAAATAACACTTACAGGTCTTGCTCCCCCCCCCCTCCCTCCAGCGTGTGTCTGGACAGTGAAAGGGGAAGCATCAAACAGAACGGGGATCATGGAACAGGACAGAACGGAGAATGGAACAGGAGCACAGGACAGAACACAGAACGGGGATCATGGAACAGGACAGAACGGAGAATGGAACAGGACAGAACGGGGATCATGGAACAGGACAGAACGGAGAATGGAACAGGACAGAACGGAGAATGGAACAGGACAGAACGGAGAATGGAACAGGACAGAACGGGGATCATGGAACAGGACAGAACGGGGATCATGGAACAGGACAGAACGGGGAGCATGGAACAGGACAGAACGGGGATCATGGAACAGGACAGAACGGAGAATGGAGCAGGAGCACAGGACAGAACGGGGATCATGGAACAGGACAGAACGGGGATCATGGAACAGGACAGAACGGAGCATGGAAGAGGAGCACAGGACAGAACACAGAACGGGGACCATGGAACAGGACAGAACGGAGCATGGAACAGGAGCACAGGACAGAACACAGAACGGGGACCATGGAACAGGACAGAACGGAGCATGGAACAGGAGCACAGGACAGAACACAGAACGGGGACCCTGGAATATACTAGGGGTGGGGCTGGGGGAATGCCTCGCCCAGCATGGACGGTACCGCACATCACTGCAGGAGTCCTGATTTTCTGCTGCAGTTTAGTAACACTTAGATTGTAAGCCCTCAGGGGCAGGGCCCTCCTTACCATCTTGTCTTGAATTGTATTGTGACTGTAATGTCTTCCTTATATTGAAAAGCACAGGACAGAACACAGAACGGGGACCATGGAACAGGACAGAACGGAGCATGGAACAGGAGCACAGGACAGAACGGGGATCATGGAACAGGACAGAACGGAGCATGGAACAGGAGCACAGGACAGAACACAGAACGGGGATCATGGAACAGGACAGAACGGAGCATGGAACAGGAGCATGTGCGCTGCAGTGCCAACACGAGGCATGATCGGCCCTCAGATTGCTGCCACCATAAACCTGAGATTGTCAGTAACTGGCAGGATCTACAATGAAACGTTTGGGAAATGTAACAGGGAAGCTTTGATGAGGGTTTGTTTTTTTACTGGGTTTACACCCACTTTATATACTGGAATATACACATCATCCTTCAAAGGTCGGGAGAGAGTTTTGCTTTCTGGGCATTCTGCATTGCAGAGCTGGTACCTGCACCCGAATTTCTGTAGCCAGACTGCAGTGTAAGTAATTTCCCCCCGAGAGGCTGCGTACGTGCGTTCTCACGTAGGCCGGATTTCTGAGTCCTTGTGATGAATTAGGAGGAAAGCTGTGCTCTGCCCGGAGGCACGGAGCTCCCCTGACAGATCAGCCAGGAGGGCACGGTGACGGCATCACACTCCGCTCTTATCTAGGCCATCACGACTCGCCTTCTCTTTACCAAAATCCCACCCATTCCCATGTCCATCCATCTTGGAAATAGGAGCAGAGGTCACAGACTGCAGCCTCTGTTCAATTTATAAAATGTTTAATAAATTGCTCCTTCAGATATGTCGGCAGTCTGCGGAGCTGGCCAAGAAATACAGGGAAAAAAAAACCTCCCTGGCTGGAATGCCGCAGATGCCTCCATGTTATTCCTTAGATGACAGCGGAGGAGGTGGCTGCAACAGCAGGGTCAGCGTTCCCATCTCCTCCTCTGTACAGAATACACCTTTGGCTATATACACTCGATATGCTCCCTATAGTCTCTCATGTTATATAAAAGGGATAGAGAACCATGGGGCAGAAAAGAAAACCACACTGAGGAAAAAAGATACACAGGCAACTGGGAGAAGAAGGGACGAGGGCTGTACAGGGAACCGAGGGGCATAGAGGAGAGCTGTGCAGAGTACCAGAGGAAGGAGGGACAAGGGCAGCGCAGAGTACCAGAGGAAGGAGGGACAAGGGCAGCGCAGAGTACCAGAGGAAGGAGGGACAAGGGCAGCGCAGAGTACCAGAGGAAGGAGGGACAAGGGCAGCGCAGAGTACCAGAGGAAGGAGGGACAAGGGCAGGGCAGGGGA